AACCTGAGTCATTGGATATTATCATTATACAATTGGTAACCTGAGTCATTGGATATTATCATTATACAATTGGTAACCTGAGTCAATGAATATTATCATTATACAATTGGTAACCTGAGTCAATGGATATTAGCATTATACAATTGGAATCTTGAATCACTGGAATTAGTCTAGCAGGTAGTCCCCTGGATTATAAAATACAGCTTCTTTTGTTTTTACTGCAACAGGTGATATTAAATGTTAAAGTTTCAGATGTAAATTAATTATATAGCACACATGTATGTATCATTCTTACTTGTGATCCAATGAAACTTTGTTGTTGCTGCTGCTGTTGCAGCATTACAAGGTGCTTCTGCTGCTGTTGTAATAAAGGGTTATGTTGCTGCTGCATCATAATCTGTTGCTGCAGCATCTGTTGAAGTTTCTGCTGCTGCAATTCATGATGCTGTTGTTGCTGCTGCTGTTGTTGCTGCTGCTGCTGTAGCCTCTGTTGTTGCTGTCTCATCAGAAGAGTTTGCCTGAGATGCGATCTCTGCTGTCTGACTGTCTGTAGTTGCTGCTGGTGTCGCAATCGTGCTTGCACTTGCTGCTGCTGAAAGGACTGCGGCATCTGTCCACTACCAGGAAAACGTGGACCTGAATTCATGCTGTGTCCTTGTGAAAACCGTGGGTTAATTATGTCTGGTAGGTCTTGTTGCATGGAATACACGGGCTGCTGAGATTGCTGTCGCATGGTGGAATCCATAAAATTAGTGTTCAGTCCAAGATTACCAGTGTTTAACAAACCTGAATTACTGCTCAGAGAGTCTGTTATTGTACTGTGGGGATATGTATTTGTTATTGTGTTGCTTGCTATGCTGCCACCCATAGAGTTGGCCAGTGTATTCATAGATGATGTAGCGATTGTATTCATACTGTTAACACTGCTAGAGGATGGAGTATTTCGACCAGATGCACCTCCAGAAAGTGCAGAGTTTAATAAATCAGATGTTAATTGCTCATCTGAATGGGGTGTACTCAGAAGCTGTTCTATTCCTAGAGCATTGTCTATTTCACACAAAGATAAGTTGCTGTTATTGAGTACTTGTTCCAATTGCTGTAGTATAGCATCATCAGATAGAGAAGCAGAGGAGTCATCTGACATTATTGAAGACGGTGACTGCTGCGATGTATTGCCACTCAAGTTATTTAAATTGGTCATCACCTACAAATACAGAATGTCTCATTGATATCATGACATATATGCGAAGTATGCACACAGACAGTAGAGTACCAACTGACACGTAACGAAGGTCCTAGTGACTGTGTACTGTCCAGGTGATTCTCATGATAAAACTTATTCAATGTCATGTGACTGAGTCTCAACCAATCACAGCATGCGTAACAGCAGTGAGATCCGATAAAACTTATTCAATCCTGCTGATTTTTCTGCTTTAACACGTTTTTTCCCCATAATTCATTTTGGCTATCTGTGGAAGCTTCCAACACTAGCTATCTGAAACATGTGAAGCAACTTGCGCAATGAACCAAAATCGAAAGTTACAACACTCATGAGTTATCTGCCTTGAATCTTGATTGATTTTGCTGTTCAATGTAATTTTTTCTTCACATTTTTAAATTTTTAAAGCTCAGTAAAGTAACTAAATTAAGAACTTTTGTGTAACCTAGGAATGTTTGTCCCTTATTTTATACATATTGTATTCGGTATATGCCAGAAAATAATTGGGAAATGAATCATGGAATGTAGAAGAAAATGCTTAAAAATTTGCAAGAGACATGCAACATTTTTTGTGAATTTCATTAGTCAGTGCAGAACCTACCATTGAACATTTTTTGGGGGGTCATACAGGAAGTGTCAGCAATTTTTGGAGCTCCATAAAATTATCATATTATGAAAATTCATAGAACCGAAAATAAAGCAGTTTTAACTACTGTAATCACACTCTAAACAAAGGATTACTCATTTCAGCACGTGGAAAAATCTCATAAACCGATGGCAGCAATTGTGTGGAGTTTCAACATATTTACACATAGAGATAACGTAAATAGTCTGTAAACAAATGTTTTCAGGTACTCGACAATACTTTAAAACAAAGTAGGGAATCAGTTATTCAAATATCTCCAACTCTTGGTTTTCACTGTAAGTGTGTGCTCGTCCTGCTTATTCACTCACCTGTGCTTGGCTCTGGCTCAGAGCTTCGGTAAACATACTCTGTGACCTTGGATTTTGTTGCTGTTGCTGCTGCTGCTGCTGCTGTTGTTGTTGCTGCTGCTGCTGCTGCTGCTGCTGCTGCTGCTGTTGTTGCTGCTGCTGTTGCTGTTGCTGTTGCTGTAATGTCACCTGTATGGATGACTTCTGAGTTGATTGCAAAGGATGACTGAACGGCATGGGATTTGTCATACCTGTTGCACTGAGCCCTTGATTACTTATACTATGTACTGAACCTATGGTATTTCTTCGTTGAATTCCACCTGATGACCTTCCTAATTGTGAAGGCTGTTGTCCCCACGTACTAACGCGACGTAGTTGCTGATTAGATTGTCGATTTAGCAGAGCTCCAAAGCCAATTGGTGCAGTATTTGGGATAGGAGTGAACGGCGGACTTTGTACTGTACTATCAGGAGGTACGCTCTGTTGTTGTTGTAACTTCAATTGATCACTTGCACTGCCTTCCATGAGCAACTGTTGCAACAAGGGGTTCTCTGGGTTACTATTCTGTTTATTATTATTATCAATAGGAACCATTGGTTTTTGTAGTGAACTTGTCTCCATCTGTGTTACTTGATTGCCATCACACCCTGCCAACAATTCTTGCACAACACTCTGGCTATTTTGTGTGCCAGTAAGGGCTTCTTCAGGGAGTGAGTTTGCAACGTGGAACAGCTGCTGAATAAGAGTGTTTGTTTCTTCTTCGTCAAGGTTATAAATGTTGAAATTTTCAAGCGCAGGCAATGCACTTGTTTGCGGTGACTGTGTTTGTTGCTGTTCTGGTTTCTGCAGCTGGTTTTGCTGTTGTTGAGATGTAACAGGTGTTTTCGCTGTTGATGCAGTATTTTCTCCACTGGTTACAGCTGAGGCAAGAGCAACATTGTTACTGTTATTATTACTATTACTACTGCTGCTGCTGCTGCTGCTACTACTGCTAACAATACTATCAGACTCGTTTACATTTGGGACAATTTCATGTTTACGAAACCCAGCTCCAAATGTTTTTCCAAATAGGGTACTATGCGACAAGACAGAAGAATCATCCTCCATTAGTAACTTTTGCAGCAAAACGTTTTTGGGTTGTTTTTGAGGTGCTCCATTTTTGGATTGTTTTCCGGGCGGGCAAGCATCTGGTATAAGAGTCCTATGATGGTCCAGAATTTTACTTGTATCCTGTGATGGTATCCTAGGAAACAGGTCACCGCCTGAATGATTCTGCATCCTCCGCAGCTGCTCTAGCGGATAGAGCTCACTACCAAACTTAACAGAACAATCGCCGTCTAGCAGTTTGCTTAAAATCTTATTCTCATCTTCACTGTCGCTGAAATCTTTTTTATCGGCATCCATGTCTTTACTTTCAACTGACAAAGGATTAGGGCTCTGTTCAAGCAAGCGCTGTAATATTGCTTCTTTCATCCGAACAGATGCCTCACTTTGGGTACTAGAGTTAGATGGCGGGTTACTAGTAAATTCCACTGCTTCTCCACAAGCTTTTGCTCCCTGTGCCGCATAGTCTGTGTCATCTGAAAAGATTCAAGTAAGACAAGTATGATTACTTTCATTGAAAGACAAGCAAACTGACAGTGGGAAGCTGCATGTATGTAAGGGAGTCTAAAAACTAATGATGCGATAGTGCGACTCGCTGAATTTCACAGTGTCACTCTGCAAAACAGCATATTTTGATTGGAAGACCACTTGTCACAGTGTAATCAGTCACAGTCAAATCACTAATTAACCAATCAAAATGCTGGATGATGCCAACATGTTTAAATTACCATAGCATTCAAATATGTAATGTTAATAAACGCAACACAAAAGAGATTTGCCGATGTTGTAGTACGATCTTTTGGCTTTGATTTTAAATCAAGAAATTAGTTACACTATTTCACTTTTCTAGCCAGCAGTGTACCGGGGTAATGTGTCGAATCACCTTAAACCATGGTCGCATAATTTGTCTTCCATGTGCTTGCTGATCACCGAACAGTGCTGCATGTTACCAGTACATAGTGTTTACACACCTGTTTACCGTAATTCGTGAGCAATTGGCAAAATAACCATTTAAAACTTAACATTTCTATAAGGCATGCGGTGAACCCTTACACTGTAAATAAAGAAGTGATATGGGCATCGATCAATCATTGGGATTCACGCTTTTCAACCAACCAACGGAAATCGAGCTATTCGCAAATTGACACTGCGACCTGTGCAATAATTGACATTTGGCGAGTCACACATTCGCATCGCAAAGTTAGTTTTCAGACCGCCTTACATATCCCTCAAAGCTGTGGTTATAGAACAGGTGAAGTATTTTTAACTGTTCAAGTTAATATGGACTCTATTCAGATCAGTAAGTTTTGTTCTAGAACAGCAATTGCAGTAGGACATTTTGAATCTGATCTTTAAAAAAAATTATGGTTTTGGTATACACATATATACGTTAACTGAGATCTGGGTTTGGAATTACAGAAATGCTTGATTTTGAAGAATTTTAACATTAAATGGCAGCCATTCGGTCAACTTGAATCTTATTATCAAACAATTACATGTGCATATTGCAACATAATGTACTTATACAGTTTGAAGGTGATTGGTCAAGGCATGTCCAAGAAAATGGTGGGAATGCACAAGCTGGGAGTAACAAGCAAACTGTCAGTCGAGGAAGCTCTGCTGTTGTATGTAACACAATGTGGTAACAATTTTAGTTGAATCATAGTCACTTCATAGTTATGGCCATGCAATTGGATAAGCAGTTTTCAAGAAGAAGTTAGAAATAAAATTTTCTCATCAGAATGACAAAAATATTCATCAAAATTATAAAATTGAAAATATCCTCACAAATGAACGAGTCTAGGGTTTATCAAAGAAACCTATACCGTATTTGTCTTCAATTAGGCGCCACTTTGTTACACTTTC